AAGAGTTTATGTAACCTTGAAACAAATTACTTCGTGTACGTGTAGCTACCACCTCAGAAAATCCTGATATGATTTTATCGGCTTCTCGCGGTATGTGAACAAATAGTTTTTTTTTTCATAAAGAATGAGCCTGATCACGGTAAAACCGGATGCTTTAACATTACTCTTTTATAGATAAAACAATTATCGTCTGGGCCTTATCTCGCGATGATGCTAATTACGGCGTTCCACGTAAGGTGCTCACTGGTCACAATCATTTCGTGCAAGATGTAGTCATTTCGTCGGATGGTCAGTTTGCGTTATCCGCCTCCTGGGATAAAACTCTACGCCTTTGGGATTTGAACACGGGCACAACTACTCGCCGATTCGTGGGTCACGAAAAAGATGTACTCTCTGTATCGTTTTCGCCTGATAATCGTCAAATCGTGTCAGGATCAAGAGACAAGACTATTAAATTATGGAATACGCTTGGTGAATGCAAATATAATATTCAAGAGGAAGGCCATTCTGATTGGGTTTCTTGTGTGAGATTTTCACCTAACCCCTCAAACCCTGTGATTGTATCATGTGGTTGGGATTATCTTGTTAAGGTAATTTATTTCATTTCAATCACGAATTTTAATACGCGACAGTGATGCACTGTGTTATATATTTGCTACTTCGGAGGGGTACCTTCTATGAGAGAAAAACTAAATCTGAGTCAACATTCACCTTTTTTTATATTATTTTACATTTGAACTCTCATTAACCACACGGAAAATAATGCTAATATCTCCCTATTTATAGGTTTGTTTTATTGGGAACACGTAAAGATTGTATTTATGTGTCATTTTAATGCTTTTTAGGACCTACGATCTTTAACAATTGCTATTTTACTTGAACTAACAAAATTTTTCTTTTATCTTAGGTTTGGGAGCTCACCAAATGCAAACTTCGAACTAACCATATTGGACACTCGGGCTATATTAACACAGTCACTATTTCTCCCGATGGTTCACTTTGTGCATCTGGCGGAAAGGACTGTATCACCATGTTGTGGGATCTTAATGAGGGTAAACACTTGTATTCATTAGAAGCCGGTAATCCTATCAATGCGTTAGTGTTCAGTCCCAATCGTTATTGGTTGTGTGCTGCCACCGCATCTTTTATCAAGATCTGGGATCTCGAGACAAAGACCGTTGTCGATGACCTTAAACCCGAATTCACAGATACAGGTAGACATTCGAAGGATCCAGAATGTATCTCTCTCGCATGGTCGCCAGATGGTACGACCTTGTTCGCTGGTTATACAGGTGACCATCTATATCTTTATCTACTGTAAAGCTCATCAGCTTTTTTTTCTAACGATTTATTTTCGTCTTTTCATAGACAACAAAATTCGCATCTGGCAAGTTACTAGGATGTAGTGAATGGATATCCCGTGGTTTTTAAAAATAAAAATTTATCCAAATAGAACTAATAAT